GATTTGTCTGTCCAGACAACAGAGTAGTGAGTTCCGGTTGGTCTTTTTCAGCCTGACGAGCTCGCTATCGGCAGAGATGAAGACCGAAGAGCAGGCGCCGCTGCTGCGGAGAGACTCCGCGGCGTCTCCCGCCGGCGTGGCGGCCGTGCCGCGTCGCTCCTGGCGGCAGCTGCTGATGAATGGGTCGATCCTGCTCGGGCGGGAGTTTTGCTACGCTCTGGAGGCCGCCCTCGTGCTGCCCGTTCTCATGACCATCGGCATGCCCAGGGAGATGTACAGGTACGTACGGAAACTATATTACTGTTATTTCGGGTACGCGAAAAGGACCCAAAGTGCTTTATCGAGAAGACTAGCCTCCTGTGCAGTCCTCCGGGAGGGTGGGAATTTTGATACTGCGTTTTATTGAATTTTTCGCGTTCTTTTGCCGACCATCCTACAACCAGCAGCGCTAGCCGAGAGAAGGTTTGTACGAGGGGTGTTCAAAAAGTTCTCGGCCTCACCTAGAAAATAAAGGTCAAACTCCTATTCTTTGGTATAGCTGTATACTATGACGTCTTACATCACTGCACACAAAAATTCAAATTTTTGTATTCATTCATGAGCACGTGACGCCCCGTGAAAATGGGGTGGGTGAGGGCAAATCACAAAATGGCCGCAAAAGAAGCGTGTGCTGTGATCAAGTGTATCGATAAAAAAGAAAGTCTCCTAAGCACATCCATGAAGACATGGTCAAGACACTTGGTGATGACTCCCCTTCTTATTTAGATATAAAGAACGGGGTTACTAGCTACAATCGCGGCAAGGAGAGCACAAAAGATGAACATAGGTCAGGATGCCACAAATCAGCACCACGGACAATCCAGTTGAGGCCATCCATCACATGGTAGTAAATGACAGATGTGAGACTGTCCAACATGTAGCAGGTTCTTTGGCCTGTGTTATGACTCAGTTCACAATATTTTGTCGAACATCCTGGGGATGAACAAACTGTCTGCATAGTGGGTGCCTCGAATGTTTTTTGAACATCAGAACTTAAATAGGCTTGACATTTCAAGGAACGAATTCAGTCCAATTCATGCAGTTTCCTCAAAACATTTGTCACTCAAGATGAGCTGGATTCACCACTTTCACCCCGAATCGAAACAACAGAGCAAACAATGGATGAAGAATTTTTCCCGGCCCCCCAAAGAAGTTTTAGCGAGTTTCGTCTGTTGACAGGGTTTTTGCCTCTGTTTTCTGGGACAGTAAGGAAGTAATCATGATTGACTACATGCGAAGGGGTTAAAGCATCAATGGGGAGTACTATAAAACAGAATTACGACATTTGAGGGCAACGATCAAAGAGAAAAGGAGAGGAAAGCTCCGATCTGGCGTGATGAAAATG